GCTGCTCAGCTCGGGCTGGACTCGAACCGCTGTTGCTCAGAGCTCAAACTCTTGAGCGAGCTCTTAACCAACTGAGCCACTCGGCCAGCCCCTATGTTAGCAAATTTAGGACGAAGGTCCCTGTCACCAATTTCAATGGACAGTCAGTCAAATGGGGGAGGAGCCCCCACACAGGCATGTGGCATGCGTTCTTCCCTTTGTCTCTAACTCAGGAAACAGAACTAGAGCTTGATCAAATTCATCCATATTGGGCAGTGTCTAAGAGAAAGGACAGTGGCCTGTGTATCTCACTGTCTGCGAGGATCCCGTCCAATGCTAAAGGTGTCAGCATGAGGACACACGTGTGTGAAGTAGGCAGTATACCAGTCAGATGGCACGAGGTCTCTACCCAATTGGGAAGGTCTCGGGAACCACTGGGAGGAACGGGGGGAGCCTCACACCTGGACGAGAATGTGAGTCACGAGTTGGGTAAAGTGAACCTGAGAGTTTTTGGGGACAGACCTGTCCTTCTGCCTTTGACTCCCTGGTTGAGTCATGTAGAGAGCAGATCAAGGGGTCATAATCCGTCATGTGGCCTGTTCGCTTGTTGGCGTCAGGGAGGGAAGGAGCCCTAATCGGAGGCACAGCGGAAGCTTGTTCTCCTGGTGACTTGGGAAACTGATTCATGATGGAGCCAGGGGCTTCTGCTCTGACTGATTTCTCTGTCCTTTCCTATTGCCCAGGAGGGTGGGCCTGGCCACCGGTGTTAGTGGGAGAATCCCGGGAAGCTTCAGGGTGGAGGGAGCAGAGCAGAGCAGGGCAGCGTGGCTGGAATGAAGGAGGAGGCAGGTGAGGGACAGGAAGGAGCACAGCGAGCCAGAACTGTCCATGGTAATGAGCAGGGGGGCTTACAGGTGACTTCAGAGACCCCAGGGACCAAGATCCCACGGCTGGTCCAGAGAAGGACCAGTGCAGCAGAAAAACCCTCCCACGGCAAGCAGCCCACAGTCACCATGAGACTTGGCTCCTGTGGGGGTTTTAGGGGTAGGTGGTCAGAGGGATGGAACGTGGGTCCCAGCCCCTGAAGGGACAGGGAACAGTGACCAAAACCTCCTAGGACTCTGCATCCAGCTTCCAGAATCTGTAGAGATTATGAATCACTCACTCATTCATTCATTCATTGACTCATCATAATTCCTTCCTCCTTCATCAAAAGCAATTGAGTGTTTGTTACGTGTTGGTCCCTGAGCTGGTTGCAGGTGTGGAGTGGGGAGTGAGAAGCAAAGTCCTCTCCTTTATGCTCCAGCGGGAGTGACACCAACACATCAGGAAACAAATAAGTGATTTCAAGTCCAGTGCAGGGAGGG